TTTTATTGTATTTTTGGATTTTTTTTTCTAAAAAAACATTAGTGTGGTAATTAATAAAAAAATGAGAAATTTCAAAAAATGCCACTTTTCAAATGCCACTTTACAAAAATGTCACACTTTTGAAATCTTTACAAAAATGCCACTTTTTCAAAATTATTTTTTCTTTATATCATTTATTTTTGGGTTAATTATGTTCTATTAGGGTTTAGTTATGAGGGTTTATGGGGTTTAAGGGGTCAAAACATTTTTTAGGGTTTAGAATTTTAAGATACATGCTTTATAAATCTATAATTAGTGGCATTTTTGCAAATATGCACACAAAAAGTAGCATTTTTGTAATTGCCCAAAAAAAAATAGAAGAATGTTAATTTATTGAATCATTAAATTTAGTTTAAATGTAATTACTCTTTTTTAATAATATGAAATTTTGAAAATGATGATGTGGATACCCTAGGAAGAGAGAAAACTCTCCCATTATATAATAGATTTTAACAATAAACTTAACACAAACAAATAGAAAATGTGAATTATTAATTTCAGAACGCACACATTTTTTTAACATCCGCAATAACTAAACTTGATTATTTTGATTTGTGAGATTAATAATTCACTTTTTCTATTTGATTTGGGTCAATTTATATTTTGTTGATAAACAAAACTTCCGCAATAACTAAACTTGATTATTTTAACTAAAACTATAATAATTTTCACAATAAACATTTCATTCTGCATAAGATAGAAAATAATCTTTTTTATTATTTTTAATATCATAATTTTAGTCCAAAATAAAATATTTTACAAATATTATTTATCAGTGCAAAACATTTTTGCACCGGGCGTAACCTAACTTTTTTATATAAAAGAAGAATTTTTGCCTATCCTAATTTCTTTTATATATATATATAACTTACTATTGGCTCCTCATTTTTTCTCTCAAAATATCATCTAATCATATGTAAATGTTTTTCCATTTGAAAAACATTAATTATTGGCTAGTAGGTCGGTTAGGATCGGACTAAATTTTTGTCTAAACCAAAATATGTAAAACTAGTTGTAAGAAAGTTAAAAAAAAACCTAGGTTGCATGAAAACTCCATCCAAGATCCGTTTCCTATTTCGGAAACGGAAACGCGATGGAAACTCATAGAAATGCGATGGAAACGTGTTTCTTAAATATTCCAATTTGGAAATATTTTGGAAACGCGTCCGGAAACGTGTTTCCAAAATTAGAAACGCGACTTTTGGTTTTAGAACCAAATTGAATAAATTGAATAAATACTTTGTAATTATAGAGATTTGTTTGTCGTTTTTAATAAGTTTTAAAACATAATTATTATACACTAATACAATATTTTTTCTCTAATCATCACCGTAACCTAAAAAGGTAGAAGAATTCGAAGAGATAACAAAGTATTTTTTTTAATTACAGTATATTTATTATTGATTATTGAAATCATGAAGTCGTTACAAAAACGAAGTTTTTTTTGTTCGAGTCGGATTGGATTTGTGTTGTTTTAAATATTTTAAAACCATTGATATATTTTTTTCATGATATATGTTTCCAAAACGTTTCCGTTTCCTTTTTTTTAAGAAAAATCGT